TCAAGATGGCCCTGACATATGTCGTGAATGATTCCTAGTTGAGATTCCTGAAAGTTACCTACGATTTGGCAGACACGCGAGACTGTGATCACCCTGAGGCCCTTCTCCTTGACTAAGGTTTGCAGCTCTAGCTGCCCACCCCCCTCCCGGCAATCCTCGAGCCTGTACTCCGTTTCCGATCTTCTTTGCCCTTCCTCGACTTTCATAAAGTTACATCCGCCGGGGTTAAGTTTTGATAGACACTTGTCAGGCCAGTCCTACCGCTTGTGTGCGCATGTTCGTGTGTGTGTCTACCTGCGTGTGCTCGCGAGCACATCTGTCATTGTCTGTGCGTGTGTGTTTATGCACAAGTGCATGAGCAGGGCGTGTGCCTGTGAGAGTTAGTGGAGTAAGCAAGAAAAGCGTTATCATAACAAATCTCTCTGGCAGATCCAGTAAAGAGAAGCAACAAGAATATTGCAGCCATAAAGTCCGCTACAGAATTATCCTTTCCGCCCGCCAGAGGGACCGTTTATATGGTCTTAGTTCCAGCACCAACACTGTGTGCAAGTACCAACACTGTGTGCAAGTACCAACACTGTGTGCAAGCACCAACACTGTGTGCAAGCACCAACACTGTGTGCAAGCACCAACACTGTGTGCAAGCACCAACACTGTGTGCAAGCACCAACACTGTGTGCAAGCACCAACACTGTGTGCAAGCACCAACACTGTGTGCAAGCACCAACACTGTGTGCAAGCACCAACACTGTGTGCAAGCACCAACACTGTGTGCAAGCAACAACACTGTGTGCAAGCACCAACACTGTGTGCAAGCACCAACACTGTGTGCAAGCACCAACACTGTGTGCAAGCAAACAACACTGTGTGCAAGCACCAACACTGTGTGCAAGCACCAACACTGTGTGCAAGCACCAACACTGTGTGCAAGCACCAACACTGTGTGCAAGCACCAACACTGTGTGCAAGCACCAACACTGTGTGCAAGCACCAACACTGTGTGCAAGCACCAACACTGTGTGCAAGCACCAACACTGTGTGCAAGCACCAACACTGTGTGCAAGCACCAACACTGTGTGCAAGCACCAACACTGTGTGCAAGCACCAACACTGTGTGCAAGCACCAACACTGTGTGCAAGCACCAACACTGTGTGCAAGCACCGACACTGTGTGCAAGCACCAACACTGTGTGCAAGCACCAACACTGTGTGCAAGCACCGACCACTGTGTGCAAGCACCGACACTGTGTGCAAGCACCGACACTGTGTGCAAGCACCAACACTGTGTGCAAGCACCGACACTGTGTGTAAGCACCAACACTGTGTGCAAGCACCAAACACTGTGTGCAAGCACCAACACTGTGTGCAAGCACCAACACTGTGTGCAAGCACCAACACTGTGTGCAAGCACCAACACTTGTGTGCAAGCACCAACACTGTGTGCAAGCACCGACACTGTGTGCAAGCACCAACACTGTGTGCAAGCACCAACACTGTGTGCAAGCACCAACACTGTGTGCAAGCACCAACACTGTGTGCAAGCACCAACACTGTGTGCAAGCAACAACACTGTGTGCAAGCACCAACGCTGTGTGCAAGCACCAACACTGAGTGCAAGCACCAACACTGTGTGCAAGCACCAACACTGTGTGCAAGCACCAACACTGTGTGCAAGCACCAACACTGTGTGCAAGCAACAACACTGTGTGCAAGCACCAACACTGTGTGCAAGCACCAACACTGTGTGCAAGCACCAACACTGTGTGCAAGCACCGACACTGTGTGCAAGCACCGACACTGTGTGCAAGCACCGACACTGTGTGCAAGCACCGACACTGTGTGCAAGCACCGACACTGTGTGCAAGCACCGACACTGTGTGCAAGCACCAACACTGTGTGCAAGCACCAACACTGTGTGCAAGCACCAACACTGTGTGCAAGCACCAACACTGTGTGCAAGCACCGACACGTGTGCAATCACCAAACACTGTGTGCAAGCACCGACACTGTGTGCAAGCACCGACACTGTGTGCAAGCACCGACACTGTGTGCAAGCACCGACACTGTGTGCAAGCACCAACACTGTGTGCAAGCACCGACACTGTGTGCAAGCACCAACACTGTGTGCAAGCACCAACACTGTGTGCAAGCACCAACACTGTGTGCAAGCACCAACACTGTGTGCAAGCACCAACACTGTGTGCAAGCAACAACACTGTGTGCAAGCACCGACACTGTGTGCAAGCACCGACACTGTGTGCAAGCACCGACACTGTGTGCAAGCACCGACACTGTGGTGCAAGCACCAACACTGTGTGCAAGCACCAACACTGTGTGCAAGCACCGACACTGTGTGCAAGCACCAACACTGTGTGCAAGTACCAACACTGTGTGCAAGCACCAACACTGTGTGCAAGCAACAACACTGTGTGCAAGCACCAACACTGTGTGCAAGCAACAACACTGTGTGCAAGCACCAACACTGAGTGCAAGCACCAAACACTGTTGCAAGCAACAACACTGTGTGCAAGCACCAACACTGTGTGCAAGCACCAACACTGAGTGCAAGCACCAACACTGTGTGCAAGCAACAACACTGTGTGCAAGCACCAACACTCTGTGAAAGCACCAACACTCTGTGAAAGCACCAACACTCTGTGAAAGCACCAACACTGTGTGCAAGCACCAACACTGAGTGCAAGCACCAACACTGTGTGCAAGCAACAACACTGTGTGCAAGCACCAACACTGAGTGCAAGCACCAACACTGTGTGCAAGCACCAACACTGTGTGCAAGCAACAACACTGTGTGCAAGCACCAACACTGTGTGCAAGCACCAACACTGAGTGCAAGCACCAACACTGTGTGCAAGCACCAACACTGTGTGCAAGCACCAACATTGTGTGCAAGCACCAACACTCTGTGAAAGCACCAACACTGTGTGCAAGCACCAACACTGTGTGCAAGCACCAACACTGAGTGCAAGCACCAACACTGTGTGCAAGCAACAACACTGTGTGCAAGCACCAACATTGTGTGCAAGCACCAACACTCTGTGAAAGCACCAACACTGTGTGCAAGCACCAACACTGTGTGCAAGCACCAACACTGTGTGCAAGCAACAACACTGTGTGCAAGCAACAACACTGTGTGCAAGCACCAACATTGTGTGCAAGCACCAACACTGTG